TTGGGGCTGGAAGCGCTCGTTCCGAGCGTTTTTCTTCCACCGGGTTATGTGGCTGCGCTTGTCTCGGCCTATTGCCAAGCCATCAAGGGCGTGGGAGGGTTGCGAGTATCATCGGTTATCGGCGCTCGCGTTTGAAGAGCGCCGCCCGCACTTCCTGCACATGTGCGGATTCTTCTGCGTTCCGTGGCTGGGAGCGCTCTTTCCAAGCGTTTTTCTTCCGCCGGGTTACGTGGCTGCGCTTGTCTGGGCCGATTGCCAAGCCAACAAGGGCATGGGAGGGTTGCGAGCATCATCGGTCATCGGCGCTCGCGTTTAAAGAGCGCCGCCTGCACTTCCTGCACATGTGCGGATCCTTTCGCATTTTGGGGCTGGAAGTGCTCGTTCCGAGCGTTTTTCTTCCGCCGGGTCACGTGGCTGCTCTTGTCCGGGCCTACAGTCAAGCTAGCAAGGGCGTGGGAGGGTTGCGAGAATCATCGGTCATCGGCGCTCGCGAATGAAGAGTCCACTTGCACATCTTGCACATGTGCGGATCCTTCCGCGTTTCGGGGCAAGCTCACACCACTCGTCCTCCCTACCGGATCAGGAGAGAAGCAGAACAAAGCACCCTTGGCGATGTATTTCAGAGCGCGGAAGCGGCTTGCGTTTGATTTGTTCCAAAATGCTGGGAGCGGTTTCGATGGGGTCACGCTAGGGTTATCTTGTCAGAATCCCAACCACTAGACCATTGGGATAAAAGGGCTTGTTTCAGTAGCGGGTCAGTGCGCCCATAACCCCCCAGGCAAACGCGCCTGTAACCCCCCCTAGGATCGATCGGGGATCTCACAGTGTAGCTCTACTGACACCCCCCCACACTGGGAGGCCCAGGACTGAGCACAGTGGCAACGACCAACATGTGCATACACCGGGATTCGAACCCGAGACCTTCGCTCTGATACCATGTCATAATCCCAACCACTAGACCATTGGGATAAAAGGGCTTGTTTCAGTAGCGGGTCAGTGCGCCCATAACCCCCCAGGCAAACGCGCCTGTAACCCCCCCTAGGATCGATCGGGGATCTCACAGTGTAGCTCTACTGACATATCTTGGGGAAAAGAACGAATGCACGCCAAGGTCACCGCATGTACCCTTGATCGGAACCTGGGGTATCCCTCCTTGGGGTAACCTGTTGGGTCCTGGGGATAGAGATTTCGTCGAACAATATTTTGGGATGAAGGGACTATGAGATTGCCTATCGTGTGTCAGCACAACCCGCTGGCACGTCCTACGTAGGGCTGACAAAAACCCACTAGGTTCTAGCAGGAAAGCATTAGGGAAGTAGGAAAAGATAGCACAGAAGATTCCGTCTCCAAACTTCATATACCCCGTCCGCTCTTGGAGGGCGTGGTTTTGGGGCCCTAGGCCAGCCTAGACTTGGCCGTGCAAAAAAAAAAAAAAAAGGATATTCGACTCGCGATGGTGTGTTTTACGTACGTCGTTAGCTTGTGACGATCGACCCAACCGTGCAATATGGAATTTGGAAAAACTTACGTATAAAGCGGTGGTAAAATACCCCACCTCGGTATTGTACGATGTTCTTCGGTTGCTCGGACAGCTGATCGGTCACCCCAACCAGCCACCAAAAGCAAGGTACGTAACACGCCCTTGTGAGTGCGCGAATTTCACGAACGGTATGAAATGAGCTGTGTGTGTCGTGGCTGTGTTCCGCCATGCTTGGGGTGTCTGTGGGCAGAATGTTAAGCTGCTGCTGGGTTGCCATTTGTGTCAAACACGTTCTATTGACAAGCACCGAAACTAAACGCTTGGAACCTCAATTGATCTCACTTGATCGCAGCAAGCCTCATTGAACCGCTGATATTTCGACTTACAATTTGTTCATCCCTCCCTTGTTACCACATCTCATATTACCTTGTCTCGCAGATCGCCCGTGAATGTCCAGAGAGTCGCCAGCGAAGCGCTCGTGCACACAACACGCGGTTACATCCATTCACTATTCTCGTGTCGTGACCGATGGCTGTGCACTGTGCAGTTACACAGCCGGTTGATGGAACTACAGGGTGCAGTGTGTGTCGAAATACTAGGCAAGAATCAGAAACAGGAAAGGAGGGGGTTTCACTAGTAGCAGTGGAGATACATATAGGAAACCCTAATTAGGGCTGTACTCACTGTAGAGTACCCCACTGCAGGCTAGACAAACATCACATTCTGACACACCCCCATAGACAAAGTGGGGTATAATCATCACAACAAGCAGGCATAGCAATAGTTCACAATGATACACATAGCTAGAGGCTATCACAGAGGGCAAGTGAGGAGGAGGAGAAACTGTGGGAGCGAGAAGATGGAAGGCGACGGCTGAAGCTGCAGACACACGGGCAACAGGAGTGTGCAGCACTGACGCTACCAGGCGCAGAGCCCCGGACTACACGGCGATAGGCGCAGCTGGCTCTCTGTGCTCCCAGGAGTGCTCACACTGTGGCTATCGGGCGCAGAGCCCCGGACTACACGGCCACAGGGGGTCGTGGCTCTTTGGACTACCAGGAGTGCTCACACTGTGGCTACCCGGCGCAGAACCCTGGACTCCACGGCCACAGGGGGTCGTGGCTCTCTGGACTTTAGGCGCTGCGGACGACAAGACGACTGCCTCCACTCAACTTCCCCCAGCTGTCCCACACCCGTGTCACACACCCCCTGCTGCACCTCTAGCACTGCTCACACGCCACCCCCCTCGTACCACTCCAACGGTTCTAACACATCCACCCCCCTCATCGGTAGTTGCAGCAGTAGGAGACGGAGGAGGAGGAGGAGCAGGGGACAGCTCACACACCCGGCACCCCCATACTCTCCACCCCCACACTCGCCATCCCCAAACCCTAACACAGGCAGCAGCGGGGGGCGGTGCGCGGGCAGCAGCTCGGGGGATGGCGCGCGGCTCGGGCAGCAGCTGGACGGGCCGCGCACGGGCCTGGCGCGGGCCGTACGAACCGCGCACGGGCTGCCCGGGCTGCCCGGGCCGCGCGCGGGTCTGGCGCAGCCCATACGAGCCGCGCGCGGGCTGTACGGGCCGCGCGCGGGCCAGGCGCAGCCCGTACGGGCCGCGCGCGGGCCTGGCACAGGTCGCGCGTGCCGCGTCGGGCGACGGGGGGCGACGCGCGGGTCCCCGGGGGCTCTGCGACGGGCGACGGAGGGCGACACACGGGTCGACGGGGCAGTAAACCGCACGCTCAGGAAGGAAACATCAGGAAGCTGCGCGCGCGCAGGGCGCGCGATAGGCAGGATAGTAGCGGAAGCATCGGGTGGGACCACCCACAGGATCGACTCAGGAGGGTCAACCTGCTCTGATAGCATGTCGAAATACTAGGCAAGAATCAGAAACAGGAAAGGAGGGGGTTTCATTAGCAGCAGTGGAGATACATATAGGAAACCCTAATTGGGGTTGTACTCGCTATAGAGTACCTTACTGCAGGCTAGACAAACATCACATTCTGACAGTGTGTAATGCGGCTTTATAGAGGAATGGATTGCTTGTAAAACCTATTTCAACAACCCGTTTTCTTCCCTACTGTATGGTTCCCCGTTTAATTCCTCAGCCCCAGGCCCAGAGCTTCCGTGCTACTGTACCAAGCTTCTCTCCTCAAACAACACCACCGGCCATCAAGATATTGTAGTACCTTTTCTTGCTCTTTTCAGCAAGTGGCTAGCAGGGAGAGAGGGATGTCATCATCAGGATGCCTAAAATCCTTGCGAAGGCGCTTATAGCATTGAGGTTGTTGGTGCACCCTTGATATCCGTTTATGTAACCTCCTTCTCAGATGTTTGTAGTGCGGGAAAATTACAAAGGAAGTGCGCCCAATTTTAATGTTACACCCTTTCATTGGTAACTGTTTATTGTACAGTTCTACATCACTGCATTTTTACTGTTCAGCCCTAAGCGGAGCAAATATGTGGTTGAGAATACGGGCAAGGCGCACCCCACCCATTGCAATGCGCCTCTCCACAAGGGGCAGGCGAGACTTGAAATACTCATCTTTGGAGTTTGATGAAGAAGTGGATGGTGCAGTGCGGTGAAATTGAGGACAAGGATGGGTAGGAGGGCGGGCGGAAAGAGGAGGCAATGCCGAGTTTAAATGGTTGGTGGGGAAGGCCACTGCGAAAGGAAGAGCATCGTTGATTTTGACCGGCATACTGACAGGAAAACTGACAACTTTGGTAGGCATGGCATGCGGAAGTGGAAAAACTTTGAAATAGTATGCTTCTTGCATCAATTGAACGAGCCCAGGAAATAATGAGTGGAATTCAACATTGGCAACGTCTGTGCCAGACATGCAGTGGCTTTTTTCTTCCTGAACACATTGTGCATGCACAAAGACATACCTCCAAGCACGGCTCCGGGGGTCGCGTTGCGATAGGCCCACTTGCATGCGTCCTTTGCACTCTCCATGGCATATCTGATTGGGAGAGGTGATGTGAGGAGATGTGAGGAGATGCGAGGAGATGCAAGAAGATGCAATGAGATGCAATGAGATGCAAGAAGACGCAAGAAGATGCAAGGAGATGTGAACAGGTGCGATGGGATACAAAGCTGGGCAGCTGGACGGGAGGAGTGATGAGGCGCTAGTTAGAGGTGAGTATGCCGAGGGGCACTTACACTGCTGGGCAGGCAGCATCTTGAGCAGAAGAAAGGGTTGATGCTGCTTCAGCAGGAGTTGCAGCAGCAGCGACAGCAGCCGAAACATGAGAAGCAATATCCCCAGGGCAGGAGGCCCAAGCAGGGATGAGGGGCGGCCAGCCGAAGGCGAGTTGGTGGGGGGAGAGGAGGAACTTACACAGCTGGGCAGGCAGCAGCCTGAGCAGGAGATAGGGCCGATGCCGCTGCTGCAGCATCAGCATCACTAACAGCAGAAGAACGAGAAGGAAAATCCCCAGGGCAGGAAGCCCAGGCTGGAATGAGGGGTTGCCAGTCTGAGGCGAGTTGGTGGGGAGATGTGGAGGGCAGACGCACTTACACAGCTGGGTAGGCAACAGCTTGAGCAGGAGAAAGGGTTGATGCTGGAGAAGCGTCAGCGCCAGAATTAGGTGCAGGAGAAGCAATATCCCCAAGGCAGGAGGCCCAGGCAGGAATGAGGGGTCGCCAGTCAGTAGAGAGTTGGTGGGCGATGTGATGCAGCATAGCGGTGATGCTGCCGCTGTAGTGTTGGTAGATGGCCGTGGCTATGATAAAGCTATCCCACACCTGATGCAGAGCGGTGGAGAAGGGTGGAGAGGGATGGAAACGGGCTCCTCAAGAATGAGGGGGTGCCACGCTGAGGCGAGTTGGTGGGCAATGTGATGCAGCATAGCAGAGCAACTGCCGTTGTAGCGCAGGTGAATGGCTGAGGCGATGATGTCACTGTCCCACACCTGGAGGGATGTGAGGGGGTGGAGAGCGATGGAGGGAGTTTGGGAGGAGTGCAGAGGAGTTGGGAGGGGTGGGAGGGTGAAGGGACCTGGGCATGAGGGTTGGTGGCCAATGTGATGCGGCATGGCGGTGTGACTGCCATTATACTGCATGGCCGAGGCTATGATGTAGCTGTCTCACACCTAAACCTGATGCAGAGGGGTGGAGCACGGCGGAGAAGGGTGAAGAGGAGTGGAGAGGGTGAAGAGGATACAGAGGGCACGGGTATGGCATGGCATGGCATGGAAGCAGGACGTATCAGATGGCATGGGATGGCACATACCGCGTGCAGGTTGGTCTTCCTCTTGAACCATGTCACATGCACCCTGTTGCCTTTAGAGGAGCCTCGACAGTCATGCCATGGCAGGGCGGGCATGTTGCATGGCATGGCAGAACGACATGCCGAATGCAGGTTGGTCTTCCTCTTGAACCATGTCACATGCACCCTGTTGCCACATGCATGGCGGACATACCACATGCATGGGAGGGCACGGCGAACACACGACATGGCATGGAATGCGATGCCAGGGAATGTCAGACATACCACATGCAGGTTAGTCGTCTGCTTGAACCATGTCACATGCACCCTGTTGCCACCGAAATCAGATGTGAATCCCACGTGCAGAGGCTGCACCAGGGGGAATGGAGGCATTGGGGGTGGGGGGGTGAGAGGGTGGAAAACTGAGAGCCCGTGGCAGATTCACCCAGTTGCCACCGAAATTGAATGTGAATCCCACATGTAGAGGCTGCATCAGGGAATATGAGGAAGAAGGATAGAGGCATGAGGGAGAGAAATTGGAGTCTCATGTCACGTCCACCCTTTTTGCGGCCCAGATTAGATGTGAATCCCACATGCAGCGGCTACAGCAGCGGGATGTGGGACAAATGGGTGGAGGCATGGAGGTGGGGGAGGGAAAGGGAGAGGATTGGGGGACATGTCACGTACCGCCCAGGTCTGATATGAATTCCACGTGGAGTGGCTCAAGGAAGGGGATATGAGGCAATCGGATGGGGACATGGAAGAGGGGGGAAATAGGAATGTTTGAGCCGTCTCAAAAATACTCTTGTTACAGGAAGGGGACATGAGACAATCGGATCGAGGCATGGGAATGGGAATCCCACGTGCAGAGGCTAAACCTAGGGGAAATGGGGCAGACAAATGGAGACATGAGGGCGGGGGGACTGGGGGATTTAGACAGGCGCAACCTGTTGCCGCCCAGAGTTGGTGTGAATCTCACGTGTAGAGGCTGAAGCAGGGAGATGTGGGGCAGACAGATGGATGCATGGGAATGAGGGGAGAGGGGGGGATTGGGTGACTCAGACTCGCACCCTGTTCCCGCCCAGAGTTGGTGTGAATCTCACGTGCAGCAGAGGCTGAGGCATTGGGGAGCGACGCATGGAGACATAGAGGATGGAATGATTTTGAGACGCCTGAAAAACTCTCTCATTGCACGTGGAGTGGAATTGGGGGACGGACCAGCATACACCCATTTGCCAATGTCAACCCCACGTGCAGAGGCTGACCCAGGGCTTTTGTTCGGAAAGGGGGGGGTAGAGGTGGTGGGGGGGGAGAGAAATGGAGCGACGGAGGGGTCAAACTTGCACCCCTATTGCCGCCCATAACTGAGGTGCATCCCACGTGCAGAGTCTGAACTAGGGGCTATGCGGTTAAACATGCACCCTTCCTTCCCTGCAAGGTGCGCCAGGAATATGCGTGCCTCTGTCAGGTTGTAGCGTCCAAAGGAACTCCCATCCAGTGCTGCTTGCTGCTCACTAGCGGCAACACTGGCAGCAGCACCACCACCACTGGCAGCAGCACCACCACCACTGGCAGCAGCACCACCACCACCACCAATAGCAGCACCAGCACCACTAACAGCACCAGCACCAACAGGAGCTGTGAAGGTTGAGGCATGAGCAGCACTCCAAGCACCGTCTCCAACCACTCCCTTTACCACCTGCACCATCTCCTCTTCCCCTTCTCCCACCTCCCCACTTCCCTCTTCCTCTTCTGCCTCTTCCCCTTCTCCCAGCTCCCCGCTTCTCTCTTCCTCTTCTACCTCTTCCCCTTCTACCTCCTCCACTTCTACATCTTTCCCTTCTCCCTCTTCCCCACCCCTCCCCAGCACCCCAGATTCCGCCTCATCTACCCCTCTGAAGAGAGTGCGGTGGTGAGGCCGGGTGGGGAAATCATCAGGCTTGAGGGGAGTAGGGGGTCCGGGGGAGGACCGGAGGAAGGGGCGCCGGGAATGGGATTCGGGCTGGGCGGATGGATGGTGGGGTGAGTAGGTGAGGAGCTGCGAGGTGTAGTTGATGATTGCGTTGGTAACATACAGACCAGGCTGATGGGCGAAGATGCAATCACCTGGAGGGCAGGGAGTGGGGGGAAGGTGAGAGTGTCAGAATCCCAACCACAAGACCATTGGGATAAAAGGGCTTGTTTGTGTAGCGGGTAAGTGCGCCCATAACCCCCCAGGCCAACGTGTCTGTAACCCTTCCCTAGGATCAATCGGGGATCACTAGTGGACCTCTGACAGAGAGGCAGGGGGAGGGAAAGAGTGAAACAGTGGGGGTAGGTGAAGCACTGCGAGGTGTTGTTGATGGTAGCGTTTGCAAAGCACACAGCGGGATGACGGGCGAAGGCGCGATCGCCGGTACGGGAGGGAGGGAGAAGGGGGGCGAGGGAGGAGAGAGGGGGGTGGACAAGTAGGTAGGTGAAGCGCTGAGATGTGTAGTTGGATTGCATTAGCGACGCACAAACCAGCCATTGTGATGGGCAAAGGTGCAATCGCCTAGTGGCAGGAGGGTGGGGAAAGGGGGGAGCCAAAAGAGAGGAGGTATGGCACTGTAACAGAGGAGCATGCGATGCGACCTTAGGGTGAATGATCCCCAGTCACCCAACCAACTCGCGGCGTTCATGACATGTGCAGGCAGAGTCATTCATATCCTTGGTGAGATGAGAACCGGTAACATACAGAGGCGAGAACCAAGCCCATCCCTTGGTGTAGCGTCTAGCCTGCTTGGGGCACCGTACCGTACCGTACTGTACCAGATTGTACCCAGTCAGGCCAACTCACAGCGCTCATCATAGGAGCATGCGAAGTCAGGAGTACCCACGAAGTGCAGAGGCGAGGACCAAGTCCACCCTGTGGTGTGCCGAATGGCGATACCATACCATACTGCACTCTACCACATCATGCCCAGTCAGAAAAACTCACGGTGTTCATCGTAGGAGCATGCAAATTCAGGAGTACCAATGAAGTGCAGAGGCATGGACCATTCCCACCCCTTGCTGTGCAAAATGCCGTCAGCCTACGAGCACACGGCAGGGAGGCTTCCCTGGGCGAAGGGGGGCAGCAGCGCCGCCACTGCTGCTGCTGCCTCATCAGTTAGCAAGGCCTAGATCAGCGAGGGAGGGAGGGGGGTTGGAGGCGAGAGGATGAGGCCTGATGTGCCCACGAGCGCACAGCAGGGAGACTGCCCTTAGCGATGGGGGGCGGCAGCACCATGAAAGAGTGGCCGTCGTCACCTCGTGCCATCTCAGGTAGTTATGTCCGTAGGTACTACGGACGAACCCTCCCTGAGCGATAGCGCACGTGAACGCGTGGCCGATGTGGCCCCACGTCACCTCTTGCCACCTCAGGTAGTTATCTAGACACCTAAGCAGCCTAAGGTACAAACAGAATCTCACCTGGGAGATGGCGCACGTGAACGCGTGGCCGACGTGACCCCACGCGTGGCACCAAAGCAAGCCGCGGGGAGCAGAGCGAGGAGCGACACGAACGTTACAAGCAAGCGGGGGTGCAACGGGCCGCGACGAGCGGCTTGGAGGACGCTATGCGCCATGGGCGGACGGGAACGATGGGAGATGCTTCGAGGAAGGCGTCGCACGCTGGGCGATAAATGCTCGCAGCTTCTTTACAAGCGTAATAAGCTGGCTCATTTTGGCGATCGATGGCGGAGGAAATGCGGTGAGTGAAGGAGAGTGAATGAAAGGAGGAATTCCAGATTCATCCGCCACTGCCGTGCATGTCGTCGCCATGATGTGCCACGCTTTGCAATACTTCTGTGCGAAACGTCAAGTGTAAGGATTTACAAAACCTTACTGAGGCACTCGTTAGCGAGGTCATCCCGAGGGTCACGCGACGAACCTGTCCTTCCTATTTTGTCGCACCGAACCACTCCCGAGTCGGCCTCCGCTCCAATCGCAACCATCACCGAGCCATCCTCGCCCAACCTCTCCGCCTAGCTAGGACTTCCCCTATTTAGTCGTACATTTCTTATTGTATCGTCATTCAGTCATTCAGTTATTCAGTACTCAATCATTCTCGATATTCGTTTTACTGCGCACTCTGCAAGTTCATTCATAACACCTGGTATCAGAGCTACTTTCTTAGCCTACCCCGCTTTTTAGAGTGTAATACCCCTCGGGGGGGGGGACGAGGAAGGATGTCTTGGGGTCCAGGAGTTGCGTAGGCCGGCCAGGAGAATGAGTTAGTTGCTCCTCGCGGCCATGGTTTTACGGGTACTCCTTCGGCACCGCCAGATCCTTACCTCGAACGGTCGCGATCGACCGTGGCCTCCCTCCCCCCGGGCAACGGGCAGCTGTAGCTGTCGCGACGTTTATGTGAGTAATTTCCGCTGCGATTTACCGACGATTTCGGAAGTTTTGTGTGGCAGCTGGCGTCAGCGGACCTGCGTCGGCACCTGCACGAAATTCGCGGAGTCGTCAACGTGTCTGGCAGTTGACGCCGTCGGACCTGGGTCAACAGCTGCGCGACAATTTCGGAGTTCGTCTGATGTGGCAATTTACGACGGTGGCTCGTCGTCATTTTGCGCGCATGACTCGCGGAATGTGTTTCGGCAGCTGGCGACAACGGACGTGCGTCACTGTGGGCGACAATTTCGGAGCAACTGTGGAGAAAAAGTCAGCTGGGGAACTCGCCAGGCGCAAATGGAGTTTTGCGTCCGAAAATATCGGTGGACGAGGAGAGACGACACGCGAATTGCCCGAATTGTGCGGGGTCAACTGTCGTCCCGCCCGACCTGAAGTGCAGCGGCTTTTACTGCATGGCGTGCGCGTCATCAAAGATTTCGGCAGGAGCGCACGTGGACAGACGGGAACTTCAGACCCGCCGACACTTACGGGTTGCAACAGAAAACGGAGTGGCTAAATCGCACTCAGGAGGAGTGGGACGCAGGCGGCGAGGGCAATTCGGGCCCAACACTCGGATGACGCTGCGTGCCTGGTACTGTTGACTGCTGGCCGGCAATTTCGAGAGTGGATTCCCTGTAAGGAAGTCATTTTCGGGGACAGCCTCAACAGCCCACGATTAAACGGTGTTCAAGGTACCACGCCGACAATTACGGAGGAGAGTGGTACAGGCCGCCGGGACACACGAGAAGAAACTACTCGACGGCTAAGCGGGGGTTGAAGAACGGCGTGAAGGGCAGGTTAAAAGCCGGTGTGAACGATCTGTGACCTTCCGTCGCCCGAACCTCACCATCCCCACCAAGTTTCTAGTTCTGACTCATGCAGTCAACTTGCTTGGCCGAATAACGGGGGTGAACACGGGCCTACCCTGTGCTGGTTAAAGGTACCTGGATTGGTGCTCGTTCGACAGCTGTACAGAAAAAACAAAAAAAAGGTGGAGTTGCGGCACTGTTCTGCTCCGACAAAAGCGGGCTAGGTGAAACAGCACGCGAAAAAATCGGGGCGCCGCAAGGACAGCAATGGTGCAGTTCGCTGGTTTCTCCTGACCCGGGCGTCTACACGAGGTAACGACGCAGCGGCAAAGCGGGGACCGGGATGCTGTGGAGTTTAGTGGCGTGACGGTCGCGGTGGGCTGCAAAACGGTTGGGCGACTGTTCCTTTTAATTAAGGGTCCCCGACTCCGATAGTTTTTGCCCCTCCACCGTGGCTGGGTTCGCGCGGGCAACACCGACTATACCCCATCTGAAAAATGCGGACGCTGGGTGAACGGCGGGAAGCGGAATTGTCGGGGGGTGAAACGACAAAAAAATATGAAGCTGCGGGTATTTCTTCGCTTCTTGGAGTGCGGTTGAGTCGTTGGGGGACTTCGCCTGAAGGGCAATTTTCGAGGTTGCCTGGCAAGAAACACAACGGCAAGGATACCTAGGACCCCCGGTGTTTAAACGCACACCTCGGGAAATTCTTCAAAAAAAGGGGAGCGTGGGAGCAGTCGTAGCTTCGGGATCTATCGACCGGCGACGAGCGATGTGGTGAAACATCTGCAAAGCGCTGGTGGGAGAAAGAGGAATTTTGGTTAAACAGCATCGGCGGAAGCAGTTTTCGACTACGAAGTCAACGGCGTTGATGCCACTAGGTTCCGTGAAATTCGGTCTCGGAATAACCCAGGGCAGTCCCCGGTTCTCGATTGAACCCACATGCTGGGGTCGGGTAGCCGACGGAAACTGATGGTGACCGAGTGGGCGGCTATAGCACGTCCGAGATTTTCGGAGGCGAACTGCAACTGCAACTGCGGATTTACGGGGTCTGATTCGAGCGACAATTTCGGAGTGTTTACGTGGAGACTTACAAGTTTTAAGGCAAGGAGCGCCGACAACTTCGGAGGAGCATTCGGCGTTTAGTTAAACGCGCGCGAAAAGGACGTTGGGAAATAACGCGTGAGCTACACGGAGTTTTCAGAGGTACGAACGACTTACGACGAACTGAAGAAGGCGGCATCAACAGTGAAGGGGTGGGAGAGACAGCTGCATTTTTGCATCCCTGCCCAGGAGCCCTCGGCGCACTACGACAAATGGCTCGGCGAGTCTGGACAAAACCGCTGGAGGTGCTGACATCATCTGACCCTAGATCGTGCTCGACATCAATTTCGGAGTGACATTCGATTTCGGTTACTGTCAAACATTATATATGTTGTGTTAGTTTATGCTACAGTGGGTTAGCCTATAGGGGGTACACAATTCTAGGGTTAGGTACTTGTACTCATTTCACTGCTAGTTCATTCATTCCTGTTCAGTGATTCCAACATGGTATAGAGCAGGTCCTTCCTAGGACCAAAATTTTCTAAGGGCCCACCACTACGTAACTACCTACCTACCTACCTACCTGTGCCCTAGGGCGCCTCGGCGTGTCACGCCCCTAGACGGCCCCGCGCTAGCCCCGTTCAGGCCCCGTCGGCCCCACGCCCGCTCTCCCTAGCGGCCCCGTTCAGGCCCCGTCGGCCCCTTTAAGGCCCCGTTCAGGCCCCGCGCTAGCCCCGTTCAGGCCCCGTCGGCCCCGTTTCAGGCCCCGTTGGCCCCGCGCTAGCCCCTCTCAGGCCCCGTCGACCCGCGCTAGCCCCGTTTCAGGCCCCGTCGGCCCCGTTTCAGGCCCCGTCGGCCCCGTTTCAGGCCCCGTCGGCCCTGCGCTAGCCCCTCTCAGGCCCCGTCGGCCCGCGCTAGCCCCGTTTCAGGCCCCGTCGGCCCCGCGCTAGCCCCTCTCAGGCCCCGTCAGCCCCACGCTAGCCCCATTGAGGCCCCGATCGGGCCCGCGCTAGCCCCGTTTCAGGCCCCGTCGGCCCCGTTTCAGGCCCCGTCGGCCCCGTTTCAGGCCCCGTCGGCCCCGCGCTAGCCCCGTTCAGGCCCCGTCGGCCCCTTGCTAGCCCCGTCAAGGCCCCGTTTGGCCCCGCGCTAGCCCCGCTCAGGCCCCGATCGGCCCCGCGCTCGCCCCTCTAGGGCCCCAACCGGCCCCGTGCCGACCTCGCCGACCCGTGCCCACCACCTAGAGGCCCCGGGCGGCCCGTTCCCGCCGTAGCACACGAGGGAGAGCGGGCGGCCCGTCCCCGCCGTGACCCGAGCCGCGCGAGCCGAGCCGCGCGCCCCGAGCCGAGCCGCGCCACCCAGCCGAGCCGCGACCCGACCTGAACCGAGCCGCGCCGCCCTGCCCTACCTGGTTCGTCCTACCTGCTTCTCCTACTGCTACTGCTGCTATTTCTACTGTTCCTATGGCTAGCCCACAGGTTCTCGTGTTCGATGCTGAGGGCCGCCCTGTGAAGTTTGACACGTGGCTCGATGACCTGCACCTCTACCTACAGCTCACAGCCAAGGATGACATCTCACTGTACGATCACGCCCTATGCCATGTCACTGCCCCTGCTGCTACTGCTGACAGCACTGCTCGCTCACAATGGCAGACTCGTGATGCCCACGCTCACTTCGCCATTCGCAACTCCCTGCCGATAGACGAACGCGAGCACTTTGGTCAGCACAAGATTGCATAGGCACTGTACACAGCTGTAGTTGCTCGCTACTCCTCACCTGCCTCTGCCGCACTAGGCCGTCTCTCCCTCCCCTATCTGTTTCCCGACCTGGCCTCCTTTCACACAGTCGCTGACCTCATCACGCACCTCCGTCCTAGTGAGGCCCGCTTCCGTGCCGCCATGCCTGCTGAGTTCCTTGCCACGCACCCCCCTCCACTCTGGCTCACTCTCTACCACCTAGTCACCCGCCTCCCTGACACACTGCGTGCTGTCAGGGACCACTTCCTAGCTCGTTGCCCCACTGAGCTCACCATTGCCCTCCTCGAGAAGGAGCTACTTGCAGCTGAGACTAGCATAGTCGCTGTAGGTGCCTCTCGTGGCGACCCCCGTACCCCGTTCTTTGAGGGGTGTTCTCCTTCCCCCCTTCTTCCCTCTGTCGCCTCTGCTGCTGCTGTCGACCTTCTTGGTACTGAGAAGGTCGGCGCTAAGTCTGCCTCGAGCGGACGCAGCAGCGGCAAGGGCAAATGAGGCAAGGGTGGTGGCGGTGACGGCGGGGGAGGCGGCGGTGGGGGCGGTGGAGGCAGTGGGGGTGGTGGCTCGGCTGGAGGGGCGAGTGGTAGC